TGCACCTAAAACCAGTGTTGCTTTTTAAAAGTTCGGCCATTTTAAGAAGTGCGGACTTCAACTCCCAGAATTCCATACTTAACCTTTTCAAAGTGGCTGAGGTTAAAACCCAGGGGTGGTAGCCGAAAATCAGAAATCTGATGATTTCTTTCATCAGCTCCTGAGTTTTTTACAGAATGAATCTTTTACCTCATTTTGCCATTTTGAACCAATTTATCCCAGTGTTTTTCAACCTCATCATGCCTGGTCTTCAACTCCCAGAATTCCATGCTTATTCCATGCTAATTCTCCCAGGATTCCAGGCTTAAGACAGCGGAAATTCAACTCTCAGAATTCCATACATCTGTGAACTTCAACTCTTAAGGTTCTAGGCCTAAGACAGGTGAACCTCAACTCCCAGAATTCTATGCCTGTGTGAACTTCAACTCTCAGGGTTCTATGCTTAAGAGATAGGAACTTCAATTCCCAGAATTCCATGCTTACATCGATTTCACCTCAGGATTCCAGGCTTAAGATATGTGACCTTCAATTGATATAAGCATTTATCCCAGGGTTTTTCAGCCTTAGCCTCTTTAAGATGCATGGACTTCCAACTTCTAGAATTCCATGCTTATGTGAACTTCTACTCCCAGGAATCTATGCTTAAGGAACTTCAACTCCCAGAATTCCATGCTTATGTAGGTTTCACCTCCCAGGATTTCAGGCATAAGATGCATGGACTTCAACTCCCAGAATTCCATGTTTATGTGAACTTCCAACTCCCAGGATTCCATGCTTAAGAGAGGTATAGACTTTGTGCTCTCTGAGGTTGGTGGTTTTCTTGCAGACATTCATTACCCAAACTAGCTAACATCCCCAGTGCTAGACTTCAATCCCCACAATTCCAAGCTGCCTGGGGAATCCTGGGAGTTGAAGTCCAACCATCTGAAAGTGGCCATGCAACTGTCCGAGATTCTTGTGGCTGTTCAAAAGCACAAAACTGTCCGCCTTCAAAAAATAATAATACAGGTAGTCCTCGACTTACGACCACAACTGGGCCCCAAATTTCTGTACTCCAGGATCCTTCATCATACCCATGTTTCCCCGAAAATAAGACCCTGTTTTTTTGCCACCAAAAAAGGCACCAGGTCTTATTTTCAGGGGATGTCATCCACTGACTAACCTCACTTGCGCGCATCACCCCCCAGCCTCATTTTCGCTGTCAAGAGGCCTTCAGGAGCTGCTTCTGTGGCCGGCAAGGCTTTCCTGAAGGCCTCTGCAGCCGGTAACAGAGCTTTGGATCGATCCAGACCTTTGTTATCAGCTCCAGAGGCCTTCACGAAAGCCTTGCCAGCCTTGCCGGCTGCATAAGAAACGGGCCAGCAAGGCAGGTGTCGGGGTGTGCGAGGCCTGGCTACACCTGTCCAAAGGTAAGTAGTAGGGCAGTTCTACCACCCTATCCCCATCTTAGCTTAATGTTTACCCATCCACTCGAGTGGGCGGGATCTTAATTAGGGCTTATTTGGGGGGGGAAGGGCTTATATTGGGCGTACATAAAAAGCTAGGACTTACTTTCAGGGTAAGGTTGCATTTTGGGGGAAACGGTAATTATGAGTCGATTTCCAGTCACCTGAATTTTTATCACACAACACGAAGGTCGTAAGTGTGTAAAACTTCTTTCGGTGCCGTTGTAACTTCAAACAGTCCCTAAACGAGCTCTCGTAAGTCAAGGACTACCTGTAGCAAACAGATGAATTTCCAAAGCCCCCCCCCCCCACCCCTCTATAGGGACCAATACAGGTCCGTTCTTCCCCACTCCCTCCCTCTTTTTAAAAGGCCCCCTTGCCATGAGAGCCTCCCTGCTTTCCCACGGCATAATTGGCCATGTCCCCGCAGCTAGAAATCCAGCCGCGCAGCCCAACGGCCAGCTGCAAAATTGTAGGGCCTCTCATTTTTGTTTTTCCCTTTCTTTAATAGGGTATTCAGCTGCTTTTCTCCGCATGTTTAGACGGCTTGATCTGCCCCGTGCTCCGAGTCCGGCTGGCTGGTTTTTTTTTGTCTGGCGAAAATGTGAGAGACTTAGATTTGGTGTTGGGCGTAAGGGTGCTCTTGCCGGCGTCCGGCGTCCGGGGTCCGCAGATGGCCTCCAGGGCTTTCAATTCGGAGGTGGGCTTCTCCGCCAAGAACTTCAGCACCCAAGAGACTTTCAGGATCTCCAAGATGTTCAGACGTTTCGAGGCCGGGCGCAGGATGCGACGGATCAAGTCCTGGAAGGAGATAGATTTCCACGCTGAAGGCCCCCGTTGTGTGGTCATGACCACACCTCTCCCTCCCCGCCACAGGGACATGCGTGTTGGGGGACACACACGCCACGTGGGGTGCGTTCACCAACACCTAATAATTGTTCTCGGACAGAAAGGGGCAACTTTGCCGCAGCCGACTCGCTGCGGGACAATCCATTTATTTGAAATAATTTTTTAAAATTATTTTATTTTTTTTGTCATTCGCATTTCATTTTGGGCTCTCCTTTGGCAATCTTCTTTAATGATGCTATTCCACCATTTCTTGATGTTCATGTAGCTCTTGTCCAGTGGCGAGTTGGCTGCAGCGAGTTAATAACCGAATAGCAGGGTTGGAAGGGACCTTGTAGGTCATCTAGACCAACCCCTTCCTCCGTCCAAGCAGGAGATCCTACACCATTTCTGACAGAAAGCTTCCAGGGATGAAAGCTTCCAGACATCCCTCCCGCACCCACACACACACTACTCTGGCCAGGAAGGGATCAAGATTTAGCCCGGCTGGACAGTCAGTTTTCTGAGTGGCTCAGAACCAAATTATTTTCTGCCAAAATTAAAAAAAAGGAGTCTTGAAGCAAAAGAAGACTGGGATGGATGAAAGAGAAAGGATGAGAAAGGCAGCAGGGAGGACGGGAGACGATGTGGGTGGATGGATGAGTGGAGAGATGCTGCAACCTCTAAGGAACCCAGAGAGGAGGGAAGGAAAGAGCGAGGAAGGGAGGGAAGGAAGAGGTGGGAGGGTTGGAAGGAAGGAAGGAGGGAAGGAGGAAAAAGGAGTGAAAGAGTAGTGGGAGAAGGAAGGGAAGTGAGAGGAGGGAAGGGGAAGAAGAGGGAGAAGAAAATGATGGAGAAAAGGAAGGGAAGGAAGGAGTGGGAGACAAGGAGAATGAGGGAGGAGGAAAGGAAATGGAAGGAAGGAGGGAAGGAGGAAAGAATGAGGTGGAAGAAAGGAGAGGTGGAAGGAGAGGGAGGAAGAAAAGGAATGAAGGAGTAGTGGGAGAAGCAAGGGAAGTGAGGAAGGAAGGAAAGGGGAAGGAGGAGGAGGGAAGAGATGGAGAAGAAGGTAGGAAAGAAAGGGAGAGAAGGAAGGGAAGGGAAGAATGGGAGAGAAGGAAGAATGAGAGGAGGAAAGGGAGGGAGGGAGGAAGAAAGGAGAAAAGAATGAAGGAGTAGCAGGAAAGAAGGAAGGGGAGTGAGGGAGGAGAGAAAGAGGGATGGAGGAACAGAAGTGGGAGAGAAGGAGGAAAGGAAGAAAAGAGGAAGGAAGCAGAACACGGGAGGGAGGGAGGGAGGGAAGGAAATTCACACATCTTCAGCCTACCAAGATGGAGAAACACCAGCTTGGCTGCTACTGTTTGCCCCATCATTCCCAGCCACCCAGCCGGTGAGGCAGCCCAGGTGGGCTGCCCACCCCTCACCTTAATCTCGTCGTTGATCTGGACATGGCTGGGGAAGTTGACCTCCTTCTGCGTCTCCCGCAGCAGCTTCTTGAGGTTGGTGTCGTCGAAGGGCAGGTGGGCCACCACCAAGGTGTAGAGGATGACGCCCATACTCCAGGTGTCGGAGAGGAAGGGGTTGTAGGGCAGGCCCAGCAAGATCTCCGGGCAGGCGTAGGCGAAGCTGCCGCAATAGGTCTGGCTGAGGTGGGAGAAGCAGCTCATCATGCGGTAGGACGGGGAGGGAGGGGGCTGCGTCTGGGGCGCCACCATCTTGGAGAAGCCGAAATCTGAGATCTTGATGTTCTCCCGCTTGTCCAGCAACAGGTTCTCCAGCTTCAAGTCCCTGTTGGCACGAAGGGGGAGAGGTGAAGCCAAAGGCCACCCGTCCACCCAACCAACCACCCTAATGCTGCTGCGGGTGGTCCTCGACTCAACAACGGTTTGTTTAGCAACCGTTCAAAGTTACAGTGGCCCTGAAAAAAGGGGACTTACGTTCAGAGGTGGCCTGCTACCGGTTCGCACCGGTTCGAGCAAACCGGGTGCTAATTTTATATCTGGTTCACTGAACCAGTAGTTGCAACAACGGGCTGGCCTCACTAACCTTGCCCCCTCCCGGGAGTCCCCCACGCAGCCCATTTTGGATACCAAGTTAGCGCAGGGCCCACACGGAGATTCAGGAAGAGTGAAAAACAGCCTCCCGGAGGCTTCAGAAAGGCAGAAATGGGCCCGGGAGCCTCCAGAGCCCAGGGAAGGGGGAAATGGGCCTCCCAGAGGCTCGAGGAAAGCCTCTGGAGCCCGAGGAGGGCGAAAAACTGGAAGTTCCGGAAAGCCGGAAACAGGCCCATTTTCAGCCTCCGTAGAGCCTCCGGAGCCCAGGGAGGCCATTTTGTCCTCCTGGAGGCTCGAGGAAAACCTCCGAAGCCCAGGGAGGGCAAAAATGCCCACCCACCACCGCGATGCAGGAGGCCAACTAGGCCACGCCCACCACGGCCACGCCCACCCAGGATCCGGGCAGAGAAACAGTTCCTAACGTTTTTGAATCCCACCTCTGCTTAGGATGACCATTTTTCCAGTCTGTGCAGCCTTCTTGAAGTCACATGATCCGAAGTCAGACGCTTGGCAATGGATTTGTATTTGTGACGGTGGCTGTGTCCCCCAGGGGGGGGGTCACACGGACATTTTGCGAACTTCTGACCAGCAAAGTCAAAGGGGGGGGGAGCCAGATTCGCTTAACGACCATGTGACTCGCTTAAAAACTGCAGCGATTCACTTAGCAGCAGTGGGAGGATAGGATGTAAAATGGGGCAAAAAGTTCACTTAACGCCTCAGCCACAGAAATTGGGGTGGGCTCCATTGTGGTTATAAGTTGAGGACTACCTGCCTTTTTCTGAAGGTGGGCAGAGTTTCGTGATTTATAGGTAGTCCTCCAATTACGACCTCAATGGAACCCCACATTTCTGTGGCTAAGGGAGACATTTGTTAAGTGAACCCTTATGGCCATCCTGCATTGCAACAATTGGCTATTAGAACGGTCAATCAAAATATTGCAACCTGGGGAACTTCCCTCCAGTTTATGTAAATAGTCCTCAACTTATAATCTCAGTGGAGCCCCAAATTTCTGTGGCTAAGAAGGATATTTGTTAAGTGAATTTTGCTTCATTTTAACACTTTTCTCGGCACGGTTGTTAAGTCCGTCACACAGTTGTTAAGTGAATCCAGCTTCCCCCTGGGCTTTGCTGGTCAGAAGGTCACAAAAAGGGATCATGGGACACTGTGACCGTCATAAGTATGAGTCAGTGGCCAAGTGTCTGAATTTTGATCATGTGACCATGGAGATGCTGCAACAATTGTAAATATGAAAAATGGTCATAAATTGCTTTTTCCAATGCCGTTGTAACTTTACTAAACGAACTGTTGTAAGTCAAGGATGACTTTGCATCACCCATTTTCCAATAAAGGTATCCCTAATTTCTAAGGAACTCAGGGAGGGAGGGAGGAAGGAAAAGAAAGGAGATAGAAAAGAGGAAGGAGAGAATGGAGGGTGGGAGGGAGGGTGGGAGGAAAAAAGGAAGGAAGGAAAGGAAGGAAGGAAGAGAGAAAAGGAAGGAAAGAAGGGAGGGAAGGAGGGGAGGGAGGAAGTAAGGAGAGGAAAGGAGAAAAGAGGAAGGAAAGAAGGAATGGTGGGAGGGAGGGGTGAAGAAACAAGGGAGGGACGGAGGGACGGTAATAGGGAGGAAGACAGAAGGAAGGAACAAAAGGAGGAAGGAAGATAGAAAAGAGAAAGGAAAGAAGGGATGGTGGGTGGGAGGGTGGGTGGGAGGAAGTTAGGGAGGAAGGGAAGGAAGCAAGAGAAAAGGAAGGAAAGAAGGAGGGAAGGGAAGGAAGGAAGGAGAAGAAAGGAGAAAAGAGGAAGGAAAGAAGGGGTGGGAGGGAGGAGAGAAGACGGAAGGAAAGAAAGGGAGGAAAGAAGAGAGATAAGAGAAAGGAAAGGGGAGGGTTGGAGGAAGAAAGGGAGGGAAGGAAGGAAGATAGAAAAGAGAAAAGAAAGGGAGGGATGGGAAAGGGACGGAAGGAAAGAGAAAGGCAAAAAGAAAGAAGGGATGGTGGGAGGGAGGAAGGAAAGGAAGGAAAGGAAGGAGGGAGGGAGTTCCACCCATCTTAAACTTGCCAAGATTGAGAAAGATTGCCCATGGAAATGAAATGGTGTTTGATTGCTGAGAGGCCCACCTCAAAGGGCTGACAGAGCTTCGAATCCCCTCATGAACAACATGGATCACTCCAGATCCCAATTCAAAACCCAGCCGGGTTAGAAGCCCGAAGGGCGCATTTAACACACATACGCGCGCACACCCTCACCGATGCACGATGCCCTTGCCGTGCAGGTAGGCGATCCCCAGGGTCAGCTGGGAGAACCACTTGCCAGCCAGAGCTTCCGAACAGGCCCCGGACTTCTGGATCCATTCTAAGACATCCCCGCTTGGTGCCAACTCCATGATGATGTAATGGCGGGAGGTGGTCTCGATGGCCTGGTAGAAACTGATGACGTATTTGTGGCGGAGGCTCTTCATCACCTGGAAAAAAGAAGAGAAGGCTCAGGGTTCGAATCATGGCCTGCCCCCACCCTTCCCTCGCGTGCCCTGTTCTTCCGCTGCAGGAAAAAAATAAAATATCCTAAAAACTAAATGACTTTAAGGATAGCTCCCTGTCTTGAAATTCTGACCAGGAAGACATAGGTAGGAATGAAAAGCTAAGGGGGAGCAACAGTGCCTCTGAGAGAGTGCAAAGTGCCTTTCCAAAAGATGACCCACCAGGCGTTGAAAATTTCCCATTTGGGACAGGCAGGCCACAACATACGACCACAATCGAGCCCAACATTTCTGCTGCTAAGTAGGACATTTGTGAAGCAACTTTTGCCCCGTTTTATGACCTTTCTCTCCCCAGTTGTTAAGTTAAATCACTGCAGTTGTCAAGGTAGTCCCACGGTCATTAAGTGAATCTGGCTTCCCCATTGACGTTGCTCGTCAGAAGGTCGCAAAAGGGGATCACGTGACCCCTGGGACACTGTAGCCGCCACAGTACGAGTCAGTGGCAGCCAAGCGTCTGAATTTTGACTCACATGACCATGGTGGGAGCAGCAACGGTGGTCGTAAATGTGAAAAACGGCCGTAAGTTGCTTTTTTCAGTATCATCCTAAGTTTGAACGGTCACTAAATGAGCTATTCTAAGTTGAGGGGCGACCTGTATTTGTTGGACCCCTGTAAAGATATGAAAGTAGAGGTTTACAAGGGATTCACACAAGGGTGGGATTAAAAAAATCCCAGCAACTAGTTCGCTGCCCGGTTGCAGAGTGGGCGTGGCCATGGTGGGCGTGGCCTACTGGAACTTCTGGGAGGGCCATTTTTCGCCTTCCCCAGAGTCCCGAGGCTTCCCTCGGGCCTCTGGGAGGAGGGGAAACGGCTTCCCCCGGGCTCCTGAGGGCCTCCAGAAGCTAGGAACAGGCCCGCTTCCGGATTTCTGGAACGGCCCATATTTCGCCCTCCCAGAACCTCCACACGGGCCCTGCACTTACCTTGGATCCAAAACGGGGCGTAGGGAGACTCCTGGGAGGAGCCAAGGAAAGATGGGCGGGGCCAGCCGTTTGGTTCAAATAGCGGTTTGGTGAAGCAGATGTAAATTTAACATCCAGTTCACCCGAACCGGTCCAAACCGGATGAATCCCACCTCTGATCATTCACAGCTTTCCATTCAGGGGAGACCCACGTGTACACAAACACCCACCCGCTCCCACTTCAAGAATGACCTGTATTTCCCTGGGTAAGAATTTCGTGAGATAATCCTCCGAGGCCTTCTTCTTCGAGATGATCTTAATAGCCACCATGGACTTCTGCTTGGAGAAGTAAGCTTCGTAGACAGTCCCGTAGGAGCCGTGCCCGATGGCTTTGCCAATTTGGTAGCCATACTGGTCCATCACCGAGACGTACGGTGTGGAGGTCGAGTGTTCCACCATGGCGGAAAGCTTCTCCGCTGGGGAGATTTCCTTCCGGGAATTGGTCGGTTCTATCTCGGCTCTGGGAAGACTTCAGCGATATAGAGAAAGACCCGCCACTGAGGACAGTGGTGGAGTATAGACCACGTCTTGTGGGACCCTGGTTGGAAGATCTCAACAACCTTCCACAAAAAGGATAAAACGTTCCTCCCACTGCCTGTTCCTCTCCCCAACGGTCTGGAAAAGGAACGTGTTTGGTTCAGAGAGGATCGGGCGGAGGTGGGGGGATCCTGTCGGGATCCACCTCTCTTCACCCTATTGAGTCTAGGTTAGGAGCACCCAAAGAGACTGCTTCCCTTTGACAATATCAGAGGGATAACGGGCTGCCACCTCCAAGACCTGAAGGGTTGACCGGAATCACTCTGACCGGGTCCCACCAAGATTCTGATGATGCCATAAGCCATGTTTAAGCCTTCTGGCTACCCCGATTGGTTGCTGGGGTTCCGGTTACCATAGAGAACCTTCTAGGAATGCAGGTATTGTCTTCCAACAGGGACCTTGGAGAATGTTCCACCGAGGCTAAGAAGGAAAGAGAACAATGGATGGAAGGACACCAATCCCCAGTTTAAATCTCACTTTCCATGTTAAGTATGAATTTGCTGTTTAACGAAGCGTTCCTCATCCTTGGCATCATGAAGATGGGTTGACTTCAACTCCCAGAGCGCCATGTCTCTTTTCTGGTCTTCATTTGGTCTCTGCAGAACTCAGTAAGCCTTCAGAAAAATAGAGTTGGAAGGGACCTTGGAGGTCTTCTATTCCAACCCCTTGCTCAAGCAGATGATCTTAGACAAATGGCTGTCCAATCTCTCCTTCAAAACCTTCAGTGCACCTACAACTTCTGGTGGCAAGCTGTTCCAATGATTAAATTCTTCTGTCAGGAAATTTCTCCTTAGTTCTAGATGGCTTCTCTCTCCTTGATGAGTTTCCATCCATTGCTGCTTCTCCTGCCTTCAGGTGCTTTGGAGAATAGCTTGACTCCCTCTTCTTTGTGGGAGATACTGGAAGACCGCTATCACCCCTTCTTTTCATTAAACTAGACACACCCAATTCCTGCAACCATTCTTCATATGTTTTAGCCTCCAGCCGCCACAAAGAAGTCCACCTATTTTTCCAAAACACCAGAAGACAGGACAAGAAACAATGGATGGAAACTAATCAAGGAGAGAACCAGCCTAGGGATAAGAATAAATTTCCTGACAGTAGGAACAATTAACCAGTGGAACTCCTTGCCACCAGAAGTTGTGAGTGCTCCATCACTGGATACGCTTAAGAAGAGACCTGACATTCATTTTCCTTGTCTTCTGCTCAAGCAGGTAGGTTGGTCTAGAAGACCTCCAAAGCCCCTTCCAATTCTTTTGTTCTGTATTCTGTGATAGTTTCTTTGAAAAATTCCTCTCTTGATATTAATTTCTCCCAGTCTTTCACCATCAACCAACAATTGTGTCTTAAGCTGCGCCGTTGATCTTGGCACAAAGCTTTTGATGTTTCAACCATTTTTTTCCAGGCACGATTATCTAATCTTGGGGTAGGAAGTCAAATGCCCTTTTGTAGTGAATCCATACTACCATGTTGGTCTTCCTTCTTCTCTTGCAGTTTTCCAAAATCATCAGTTAGGAGAGTGGTGCGGTGGCCTAGAGGCAGAGCTCTTGCTTCACAATCATTTGGCTGTGAGTTCAATCCTAGGTAGAGGCAGATATTTCTCTCTTTGGGCTCAATGAGAATGTATTTGCTGTAAAAAGAAAAAACACCGCATTGGCGACAGGAAGGGCATCTGGCCAGTAATCACACAGCTCCATTCCATTTCCCAGACTCTACCCTGCAAGGCATTCTTGAAGTCCAGATATTTTGGGATGGCACTCCTATTGCTACCACTGCTATTATTATTACATACACCGGTTGTCCTCGCCATTCTTGTAATGACCGTTTGAAATTACCACGGCACTGGAAAAAAGTGACTTACGAATGCTTTTCATACTTATGAACAACGCAGCAATCCCCAAGGTCACATGATCAAAATCTAGACATTTGGCATTATCGCTTTGCCCTTGGAAATCCCACAATATTTAAATTTCAATCAATTTTTCCTTATTTATTTCATACGCAATATGATATTTTTAGGTATTATTGAATAGGTATTATTTATTTAATGCTTTTATTATTCAAGATGTAGGATTATGTATTATTTCATAAGTACAATGTGTTGACATTGATTTATCTGAGGCTCACTGTTTATTATTTAGCTATTTATTTGGGAGACAGGTCCTTTATGATTTAATTATTTAATCCGTGTGATTTATTTATTTATGTTTGGATGTGCAGTTTATTATTCAATTATTTATTGAACACGTGCGATTTATCCATTTATATGGGTTTATGTAATATGCACTATTTGTGTATCATTTAATAATTGATTGGATATTTATTATGACGATCCTTTTAAACTCAGGTTTGGAAAACCGTCATGAGCTTAAATAATTAAAAGCAGTCCTGGAAGGAATAAAGAGCTCAATTTTACGAGATGCTTGATTGAGATTCCCCTGAAGAATTTCTGCCTGTCTGCTAGAGTCTAGAAGATCTCACGGAGCCCTGCTTCCCGTTCACGCCTCCCCCGCCCCCACTCTCCGCTCCTATTCCAACGTGGGGCTGTCCCTTTAAAACGTGGGCGGGGCCAGTTCCCTGACGTCTCCTCTCCCTCAGGGACGCCGCCTCCCGCTTCCCCCAACCCGGAACTGCGTCCTGGTGTGGGCAGCGAAGGCCCCCCGCGACCCGCTGAGGGCGGAAGCGACCAACAGACGTGGCCGAGGCCTTCCCAGCGATCGCCTGAAGGACCTCGACGGCTTGGAAAGCCGCGGCTCCGCAATTAAGCCCTCCTTCGCTCTTCAGGACCGCGTGCGGTGCGAGGAAGCAGAGCGCGGCCGTCGTGGAGAGAAGACCTCTGCAAACCCATCAGGAGGGGGCTCCGAAAAACCAGGCAGCGCTTTGGACGCCCGCTCAGACTCAAGCCGTTTCCCCCCTCCTTCCCAACCGCCCCCCCCCCCCCCACCGCAGCTTGGGTGATTGCACTTAAGAACTTTCTCTCCTTTCTTTTTTCCTTAAGGGGCGAAAGAGACTGCGGGAAGCTCAGGCAGCGCTCGGGGCAGCCCTTACAGGTGAGTGGAGTGAGCCTTTTGGGGGAGGGGGCTTGGTGCATAGAAACCCCCCTCCTTCCCTTCCCCTTGGGGAAAGGCAGGAAAAAGGCTGCCTGTTTTTACCTGGTCTACCTTTCAGGGCTGTTGTACAGATCCAAAAGGGAGGGGGCGCAGCTCATGCTCCTCCACCAGGGCTTTTTTTTTTTTTTTTTAATGGGGGGTGAGGGTGGGGAGAAACAGGCATGTTAGGGCAGCAGGTCCATCCACAGCCCCTCCTCCCCACAAACTGGAGAGCCCTCAAACTGGACTGACTTACCTTCATGGCTTGTGGAAGGGGACAACCCCCCCCCCCAAATCTCTGGGGGTTGGGGGTGAGGGGGGGTCTCTGAAGCCATGGCTGAAAGAGAGGTGCCCACAATCATGAATGGATCAACACACACACACACAGAGTGAGAGGGGTGTTCTCAGCACTGGGTTCACACATTCTGCTAAAAAAAAACCTTCAACCTTGGTTGTCGCTCTCGGCCGTCTTTGACTGAACAAATAGAAACTGGCCTGGTTTGGCCCAACCTGCTAAGCAGGAAACCAAACAATCCACCATATGGGTAGTAGCTCAATTTAATATCTACCTATCGATCTATGTATCATCTGTATCTACTGATAGATCTGTCTGTCTGTCTGTCTGTCTGTCTGTCTATCTATCTATCTATCTATCTATCTATCTATCTATCTATCTCTATCTATCATCTATCTATCTATCTATCTATCATCTATC